GAAAAAAAAAGAAAGCGCAAATTAATGAGATGAAAGTAAAATGAATGTCATAAGAGGAAGAAAAAAAAAAAAAAGTCAAATTTTTAATTGGTGTGAAAATAGACGTCTAAAATTTTAATTACAATTTTGAAATATTGCAACTTTTATCTTTTATTTATTTATTTATTTTTTTATTAGCATTAGCTGTTGTCCCAATTTCTTCATTAAGCTTTCTTAGCATTCCTTTTTTTTTTCCTGTTTTTGGGAATGTGAAAAGAGAAATGATATCAGTAAGCAAAAATTTTTCTTTTTTTTCAAACTTTTTACATTTCTAGGACACAACCATATTTAGTTTTTTTTTCATACCTTAGTGGGAATAATTTGGGAGCAAAAGTTGAAAGGTTAGATTCTTGAAGAGAGTTGAAAGGTTACATTCTCAACTCAATGCACTCATTTTATCTTAATTGAAATAATTTTTTTAATAAGTGTTTGCAATTTAAAGAATGAATTGAAATTCATATTAGACAGAAATTGTATGAGAATGAAATAAGCAGTTGACAATTGAAACGCAAAGACATCGATATATGTCACCATCAGAAAATGAATTATACTCTGCATTGAATCAATCTTAATATACCTGATCTTAAGGAATTATGATCAAAGTTCTCTTCTCAGGTAGTTGATGCAACTAATATGAATACATTAATTTCACATAAATGGCAAGTTATATAAATATTTAGGTAAATTTCAGTATCCAAAATAGTTATAAACTATAAAATACTATTCAATATATGAAACGGAATAGTTTTAAAAAAAATAAAATTTCATTTTCTTGACTTATAATTCTTTTAAGGCATTTTTTTTTTCTCACAGATTCTCAACATTTCATCATTCTCTCTTTCTAATTTATTCAGACATAAATTAATTTGCTATTCAAATTGTTGGTAAAACTTTTATTTACAATTATTACTTGCAACATTTTATTTACAATTATCAGCAATTTGTCAAATCATTAATTAGTCTTACATTCCAAAAGGTGTCACAACACAACAACTAAGTTAGTTAAATGAATAGTCTTTATAAATGTCAAATCTTTAGAAAAATAAAAGAGAAAATTTAAGATATTACCTAAAATTTACAAAATATGAATTAACTTCAGAGTAGATTAATTCGTAGCCTGATTATTTTGATTTTATTTTTGAATTCAAACAAAATATCAAAGTAAAGACCGTGATAGGATTTAAATCTAATCATAAATGCAAAACCAATTATCTTATCTTTTACTTCATCTACTACGATAAGCAATCTAATCATTTTCGAAAATTTGTCAATTTTAGAAGAGAAGTTTAACATTAGCAAAGAAAGGTCAAATTTATTGACCTAGCATAAGACAATGATAATACAAGGTTGATGAATTTTTAGCCTTAACATATTTATTATCTGTCATAGATAAGTTTGGCTAATATTTACGATGAAGAGGAAGAGCATTGATAGTAGTAAACTTATGATGTTTTTCCAAAACTAAGACGATGTCCCTAGCATAGACTTAAGCTTAAGGGAAAGAAAAAAGGAAGTAGATAAATTATTTTCCATCTTAATCATTATTTCTATTCCTTCTAATTTGCTAAAGTAAATATTCATTAAGTCAACAAAAAAAAAAAAAAGAAATGCTATAAACTTCCGATTTTTAATCAAGAAATTATCGATTTCTTTTAGCTATTAGCTAGCTAGTTTCATTTGTAAAATTTTCATTTAAAAATGTTAAATTCAATTTATTGTCCACAAAATTTGCAAATAATGAATTTCACATTCGTTAAAAGAATAAAAATTGCTATTTTCTGACATAAAATTGGAAATAGTATTTGAAAAAAATGAAATTGACATGACTAATAATTGGAAATATACTAATTGGAAATTAAAAATATACTAAAGAATATTTCATAAGTATATTATGATACGTTTGATCTAAATAATTGGTTGTCACATAAAACAATAATTTATAAAAAATCAATATTTTGGAAGAGTAAACTGATAAACAAATGAAAAACATATAAATGAAATATACTAGAAGAGTATTTTCATACAAGAGTTGTCACAAAAAATTGTGACAGATGTTTTCGAAGCGATAATTATAATATCACGACAATTGCATCACATTTTAGTGCATTCTTAAATGTGAATTTTAAATGTTTGGTGGTGACAAATAATTTTTTATGCAAAAAAAAAAAAATTATTCAAATGAATCTTTTGATTAGTAAAGGTGGAAAAAAAGGAAAAAAAATGATAGATATACGGAAGAAATGTTCTTTTTTCATTCTTTCTATTTTCTTTTAACTTGATGAGAAAGCGATAAATGCGCATTTTAAAGTTTCTGCCATAGTAGGAAGCGATAAATGCGCATTTTAAAGTTTCGCTTTTAGTACCTGAAAAAATAATGTCAAGAAGGAAAAGATGGGAAGATTTCGATACGATCTACTCAATATTGTCACAGTAATTATTATTTTTACTAAAATGTAATTAGCATAATTATCGTCAAAATAAACAGTTAGTTCTAAAGTATCCCTTTTTCTTTTTTTAATTAACTAGAAAAAAGTAAGTTTTAAAATTTGGATTTTTTTTTTTCAAATTTCTATCAACAACTTATTTCTTGTCACAGAAGAAATGTCTGAATTAAAAAAATTAATAATTTCAATTAATAGATTAAAATGATAATTTTGAGATGTTTTGCATTTTTTATTACGATTATTACTGGATAATAAAATGCAAATAATTTCCGAATTTATTCCAACGATAAAATTCATATTGTAATATATCATATTGATTAATAAATGTAATAATCAAAATAGCAAAATTTTGCTAAATTCATTTCATTTATCAAAGAATCATATGATTGTTTGATATTCATAATTCATTGAAATGAAAAACTGGAAATGATAAGTTACTTAGTTAAGTAAATTTCAAATAAACATTGATGGATGTATGAATAATATTTTAAAAACTTATTCCATTTTACCCCATTTTATTCTATTCCATTCCATTTCATTCCAATCCATTTCATTCGATCAGTTCCATTCTATTCCATTCCATTGTATCCCAGTCTACTCTATTCTATTCCATTTCATTCTATCCCATTCCATCTCAGCCTATTCTATTCGATTTCTTTTTATTCTGTTCCATTCCTTCAATTCTATTCCATCCTATTCTAGTCTACTCTATTCTATTCCATTTCATTCTATTCCATTCCATCTCAGCCTATTCTATTCGATTTCTTTTATTCTGTTCCATTCCTT